GACTAAAAGAAAGAAGAGTTATTTATCACGGACACAGTTTAATATATGGAACCACAACATTAAGAAAATGTCTTAACTCATCTACAACCGCTGGCTTAAAAATTAGATGTTATAGATCATATTAAATGGCCTACTTATGTTTAGAAATGACCATACTTGAATTAAAGTTATTTGATGATACCAAATATTAACATACGTATTTTTCTTTTGAATTATGGGAATAAATTAATATTCATTTAAAATTTTAATATAAATTATAGAATTTATAGCAATGTATAAGTAATAAACCATGAATTATAGTTATAATTTAATAAAAAAATTATATTTATTTTCCTATGCACTGTATAAAGTCTAAGACGAGCTCAATTGCAGCCGCCACTTCTCTTTTAAAATATCTAACATTTGAAGTTCCATACACAACTCAATAAAGTCATTAAATCATTAGAATTAGAGTAAAATTTAATTTCATTTGACTAGGTTAAATATTCTAATTAAGGGAGAGAATATTGATTTGACTTATGATTATATTATTATTAATGGAGGCTTAAAAAAGTGTACAATAATGAATTAATATTCATTGAATGCAATTATTTAAGAAAATGACAATTCCAAAATAACTATAATCAAGATTGTATATTGTCTTTTTTTTCCCCCTCAGGAGGGCAACGAGCATCTTTTGGTGTACATAGACAAAATAATTTTCAACATTATGTATCCTATAAAATGATTGAAATTTTCCCCAAATATTTGTAAGTTTTTTAAACCATAAGGAGTATACTCCCTTGATAACAAAAACCACCATATCCTATTCTTAATATAAGTACTAAATAAATAATTTGAGAAGATTAAAAAAATTAGTTAAGTTAGTTAATTATAACAAATATGTGTTGACTTCCTTAAACTATCTGATTTAATCATGTGTATTGAAATTAGTTTTTTAGCTGGACCCATTACAATCAATAAGGATATTTTAGAGAAAATATTATAAAATTAAAAGATAAAATGGAATAAGGTATTATATTTAGGGCCTGTTTGGGTAATATCCTAAACCATGGTTTGGATAAAAAGTGCTTCTGATAACAGTTATCATATTAATTTATACCTTTTTTAGTAATTAGCATATATAAAAAGTGCTTCTGATAACAGTTATCCAAACACTCTATCACTTGTTCACAAAATCTATTCTCCAGTAGTTATTCTCCAAACTATGATTTGGTTTTATCCAAACACTTTTTTAGGATCAAATCTAACTCTTAACTAACTTTTACATTAAGTTTTTTTTTTTTAATACACTAGAGCTAAAGAATAGACACATTTCAATTTTGAACATTCAACTACTCAAACAAGGGAGAGTAATTGGTTCCTTACATTATGGGATTAGGTCCAATAGAAGGAGTTCACCCTTCACATAGTGAACAGAGGTTTGAATCCTTATTAAGAGAGGAACCAATATTTAATATTCGATAGTATTTTGAATAAGATTATTTTTAATATAGAAAAGAGACAAGAGCTCCAATGACACCCAAATTTAAGTTAGCGATCATGATTTCTTCTTCTTACTTGTTTTTGTCGATTATCTAATGGCTTCACCTTTATCTTCGTCAAAAGACCCCCACCAGTTACAGAACATTCATTCACATATTCTTTTTTAATGCTTTGGTCTCCATTGTCCCCCAAAACGCTTTAATCTTGATCAGTCCCCCGCATTCTCGTTTCTTGATTTGACTTCCTTTCTTCAGCCTAAATTAAGGACATTTATGTCTTCTTGCTTCAGCCATGATGCCCCTGGATCCTTAAAACCAAACTCAAGGGGCCTTAGAGCTAATAACTTTACAATGGGGGGTATAATGAGTAATTTTCCCTCAACTTTGTTGAACCAAGAAAACAACACTGTTGCATTAGATTCCCGTCAATTTCATAACATCCAGTGATCGTGATACGTACGCCAATTTTGTACTATTTGCAGGCGATAAGTCCCCCTCTGTATACACTATTCTAATAAGTCAGTTTGCATGCGATAAACCCCCTTCTCAGTATACATTATTCGAGTGCCATTTGTAAGACAGAAAAAATATATTTTTAAGTCATGTTATTTAATTTTTTTATATGAATGTATAATTTTAACATTCATTTATTATTATATATATTTCTATGTTTCTTGTATCTAATTTATATTAAATAAAAATAAAATTAAAAAGTTATTAAATCTTAAGACAAGGTTAAAATTTTTTAAAAGTTTTTTCTAATTCTGCTAAAACATATTGAAAATATTTTATAAATATGAACAGAACAAGAAAGAAGTTGGCAAAAAAATAAAAAATAAAAAATAAAAATAAATTTTTAATAAAAAATTATTATTTTACCTATAGATTGTCATTTTCTTAATATATATATTAAATAAGAAAAAAAATTGAAATTTGTTAAATTTTAAAGCATAATTAATGAGGTTTAATATTTTTCATAGTTTTGGTCGGATTTGTTGATAGTAACTTATAAATAAAACAAAATGAGTATATAATTTATATTTTGAAAGTATAATTTCTAATAATATTTCAATATGTTTTTAGAAATTTCAAGGGTTAATTTTAAATCAAATACTATTTTTTTAAAAAAGAAAAAAAACCATATACTCCAATGCCTTCAACGGACATAAACATTGCCTTGTATAAGAACTCACCTCATTTTTAAAAAAAAAAATATTAACAAAAAAAGTTAAAAACACGACCGCAGAAATCACTAACAAATATAACAAATAAAAAAATATAATGGTTGTGTAATAAGCTTTTGGGAAACAAAATAAATAAGCTTTTTGAAAAGCCTGGTAGTGTAATCAACTTTTTCTTCATACATTAAATAAAATAAATAAATAATGAATAATTAACTAACCAGAGACAGCGAATGCATGTACATTGCATATGCCATAGAGGATTTTACATATGTGTCCCTATGCGAAAGGTTGGAATCCTAAATTATTTAAAAGCGAGGAAGAAGACGCGTAATAATAACATGACAAGAAATGGCTTCTTTACACCATTAAACCGTTAAACGAACTTCTCTACAGGCAAAAGTAATTTCTTGGGTTAAAATGTTGTTAATGGCTTCTTTACACCACCATCAGTGTGTTTGGAATCACAGCTGAAGGCTCAAACGAGCTTCTCCATAGGAAAAAGTAACTTTTAGAGTTAAAATGTTGTTTGGATTGACGTTTTTATAATCAGACTTTTGAGGCTGGATGAACTTTTTATTGCTTTTCATGAGACGGCGCGGCTGGAGACGTGACTGGGAGCATTAACTATGTTTTAGCCTCTTTCTACGTGCCTTTTGTATCATGTATTTGTGGCTGTAAAAAGACAAAGACAGAAGTGCTGCGTCCATGTACTATTTTAATTTATATATACTTTTATCTATTAAATATATCTAATTAAGTATTCTCTCTGGTTTAAAAAATAACAAATTTTATCCATTTACATTTATTAAAAAATTACTTAAAGTCAGTTGAAACTAATAAATATATAAGGCACGTATTTTTTTCCCAAATATATTCTTATTAATAAAGAGAATAAATAAAATATGTAATAAATGAATCAAAGAAGAAAGAGAATATATGAGGACAAAGTTTGAAAAAGCTCATTAAATACTTAAACAAAAGTGAATATTATCTTATAAAAAAACCCAGCTCTTCCAACAAAGTTCATTTTATATTTTGAACAGTATTTTTCAATTTCTTCCTAATAAATTAATTTTTTATTTATAATAATTTTATTTTCAATATTTCTTTTGCAATTGTCACATTATATACATATAATATCAGATATGTATTACTTAATAAAATTTATATCTTTTTATGTTATTTTACATGTAAACTTACTTTTTTATTAATTATTCAAATAAGTTTCAGCTTCTTAAAATGATTTTTCTTTTAAAAAACCAATCTAAACATAAATCACATTATACTACTTGACTTTTGTCTAATTTGATTTTTACAAAAGTTATATCGAAAAAAAGTAACTTCTTCAATAGCAAATCTAAACACACTCATCATGTAGAAAAGATTGAATTTGATTATTGGAATTTATTAACTTTTAAAAATACAAATCAACATATGTATGTATGTATCATTGATATTTGATTAGAATGGTTTAAAACTACAGAAATAACAACAATAAGTTTTATCCTGATGTCATTATGTTTTATCAATAACCAAATCTTTAAGTAAAAAATCTTATTCAATAACCTCTATTAAGTGTTCATGCCGTGAAAAAATGTCAATTGAAAGAGACTTAAGTTCATTTTTAAGTTTTATTTTTAATATTTTATCTAATCCTTAATATAAAAACTACTTAATTAATTTGGGTATATTAAAAAGATTATATAAATTACCACCTCTGGTCCTTAATATAAAATTCGTTTGACTTTTATTTTGGTTCTAAATATAAAACCTTAATCCACTTTGTCTTTTATATTTATACTTTTTTTTTTACAAAGTAGTCCTTGTAATAATGGTTACTCTAGCTAGTATACTTTTTTAGTAAGGATATTTTAGAAAAGTCAACACCTATTTATTACAAATAACTAACTTAACTAGTTTTTTTAATTTATTCAAATTAGTTAACTGGCTCTTATATTAAGGGTAAAAGGTAGTAATTCGTTATAACAAATGTAAGTTGATGTCCCTAAAATATTTCAGTCTAACACTAGATTATATAAGTTTATAAGTTAGGTAAATTAGTTTGAGAAGAAAAGTAATAAATATGAAACACAAATATTGAGATTTTATATTTAGGATTAAATTCGAACCCTCAATTAATTCTTATATTAAAAAGGGTGGGAGAATGTATGATGCAAAAAAATTGACTCCACCATCATTTATCTATCTTCTTTGGCTTTTGAAAAAAGTCATCCGAATGAAAGATTCACAGAGAGTATGCTATATGCAGACATATACCCATGTATATTCAAATTTAATGTTCTCTTGATGATACAGAGAATATATATTATGTTTATCGGAAATTGTATGAAGACATTTGACGGTGTCTCTGTCTAACAAAAACCGACCACAAGATGACAGAGAAGAGAAGTGCAATTGAGAGCAACAACAAGCCAATGAGGATGAAACCAGAGAAGCGCCTCATGGGAGGGCAATATTGCTCACTGATTTCATCAAATATTTCTGCAACAAAGGTGCAATCTATCAAGTCAATCAGCTTTGGACCATTCTGAGACAGTGCATTGCTCACATTTACAGCCATCATCAGTTGTTCGTACAAATTGGGTGTCAGTCTTCCCACACTGCTGCACCCACCATCTTGGGATGTATTGCACACAAAACTTTCATATACCTGCTCATTATCAGCCACATTCTTTATAAGAATTTTGTATAATCTCTTGTTTTCACATTGGATAAAATCAGATTGGATAAGAGGTATATGTGTGTGTGTGTGGAAAAGGCCTACAGGTTCTATGCCTTAAGGTTTTGGATCAAGATGTAATATCGAGATCACTCAAAATGCATTTGATTTCACCAATGTTTAATATTGACCTAGGATTTGTTTTTATGTTAGTGTTTAAGTATGAGTTGCTAGGGAGAAGAAGTCTCACGTCAGATAAAATTAAACCAGATAAGGAGCATATATATGTGGGAAAGACCTATGGTCCCCCTTTGGTACCCAAGTAATATAAGCAATTTCTCATACCGAATATTTTTTTAATAGATTTTTTCACTTTCAATCCTAATCCCTATGTCTCATTCTCAATGCTTTGTACCAAACAAGACGTATAAATTTAGTACCTTAAGTTTTGGATGAAGATGTAATGTTGAAGTTACTCAGAATTCATTAGAGGGATGCTCAAATGATGGTTGATGAGTCTCATGCTCTCATCTTGTTATCTCTTTTCAATGATTCATGTTCTAAATTAACTTTCATATAATTCAAATCAAACAAAAGCACCTTTCATTAGGGCTGAGCAATGGGCGGGGTGGGCTAACCCGAAGGTTAGCCCATAGCCCGCCCATTTATTCATAAATGGGCATGGACTAATCCATAACCCAGTAGTAGCCCATTTAGCCCGTATTAAATGGGCTACGGGGCAGCCCGTTTGGGCTGACCGGGTTACGGGGTAACCCATTTATTTTTTTTAATTTTTTTTTCAGTATAGTTATTTTGTATATATAACCTTATGAAGCTGTCAATAAATTTTACATGCCAAATAGCAAATCAAATATGAAATAACATCAATCATATTCAATCACACAACCTCACTTAGATTCGCAAACAATTAAAGTCTGATAAAATCATAAAAGTAGTCACCAATCATAAAGTCTCATAAACTTTGAAAATTCCAACTTTTACCTAAAGGATAAAATAAAAGCTTAGACAAGCATGAATGTTTGATAAAAGATGAATGAGTAACAATATCATCAATTAAATGAAGAATAAAAATATTTTTAAAAACTTAAAACTTAAACGGGCGGGTATGGGCAGCCCAATACCTTGCCCATAGCCCAACCCGTTTAATGGGCTACCCCGCCCATTTAAGCCCGCCCGTTTATAATCTCTTATTTGGGCTAATTGGGCGGGCTTAAATGGGCAAAAATTTCATGGGTCATGGGCGGGCTAGCGGGTAATGGGTTTATTGCTCACCCCTACCTTTCATATTCATTTGTTGGTCATAATAATGGTTTCGATAGATATGGCCTTTTAGTTTCTTCTCAATCACATGTTTGAGTTCATAAACTAGGTTATGAGACCAATGTTAAGTTTTCTATAGGTAGCTCAATTTATGCGTAAGTTGAAACTGCTAAATAAAACAAAATATGCAGTTACCTGAGATGCATTATCTAAGGGGACTTCTTCAGGACCACATGATCGTTGAGTCATGTCAGAATTGAATGGATTGCAGAGGAGAGGCAAAGTAGGACCAGATTGATTGTATGAAGCCGACGGTGGCGCACCGGGGGGCGGATCAATGTTGGCTATATTTTTGACAAAATCATCAACCATATTCACCATCTGGAATGAGGTGTTTCTGGTTATGTCCAGTGCTTTCTGAGCTGTAGGTCCATCCACACAAGGAATGACCTCACTCAGAGATGTACGGTCCTGGGGATGTTCTAGCCATTCCTCTATTGCAACGCATGTGTCTCCTACCCCACTATATATATGTTTATAGTTTCATAAACAAAAGAAATGAATTAATCAGCTTTTTCTACTTAATTACAGCTTTAAGACTTGGAAATAGAATGTTGTGTCAACAATAATGAATGGGACTCACTTTTTAACAACTAAAGATATAGCACTCAGTATTAGAGTTTTTGTGACAAAAATCCACCCAATGAAGAACAGGCTGCAAAATTTTAGTATTTTACACTCATATCAGGTTCTGTGTAAGTACAATGTGTACATAAGTATAGAAAGACAAAATCAAATTAAATGGAACAGTGTCACTTACAAGTAGACAATGCCTCTCCAGCCGCAAACTGAGAATACTGCAAAAATAATTAGAACCATAGAATGATATGAGCCAAAAAGATTCTGTGTTGACAAGAGAAATAATGAATTCATTAGATGAAAGGGTTACTATATATATACTTACTGAAGCCAATGAATGCCAAGAAGAGCATCACAGCAGTAACAACTATAAGAACATAGCTTCTGCAGATAATAACCACTGTTTAGCTTAAAATCCTATATATATAGGGTTAATACTATTGTTGGTCTTTATAGTTTGATCGAATTTTGATTTTAGTCTTACAGTTTCATAATTTTTTGGTTTGAATTTAACAAATGGTCTTTATACTCTTAAATTTAGATCAAGTCCTTATGAAATTGTAGGAACCAAAATCAAAATTGGATCAAACTATAGGAACCAACGAAGATATTAACCCATATATATGTGTGTGTAAAATCTTACTCCTGATCATGGGTGTGTGCACTATATAATATATTATATGAAGAAAGGTTCACTCACAGGGCACTGAGAAATTTGTCTGCTTGTGAGATAAAATTCTGCAGAATGACCCTGGGATTAGAACTTGAATTACTATGCACCAATTCACGAAACTGTTCAATGTTCCTCTCATATTCTCCTGGGAGAGAATATGCACCCACTGCTAACTTCATAGCCCCATCAAGATTATTCAACACGCCGTTCAAAAGATCAAGCACATCACTTATTTTTCTCCCAACATTATCTATCACTGCGTCTGTAGCTTTCTTAAAGTTCCCTTGTCCAGTGTAAAGCATAGCCCCTCCAACTCTGAAACCAATATCAATATACCACTTAACCCTAAGCATATATATACATATGTTTCCAAACTCTCACAATATAGTGAAGTTAATAAGAAATAATTAAGGTTTTTAGAGTACCCTACATAGCCATGAGTAAGAAGAGAACAAGGCAGATGAGAGATCCCCAATAAACTGTTCGAGAATAACTACTGCTTCTTCTATTGTTCTTGCAGCAGCAGCAACAGCAGCAAAGAGCTATGAGGAAGAAGATGATCCCACCCAAAAACCATACGACTGCAACATATAGTGGTGGAGCACCAGAATATAGCAGAGACTGTACAGAAAACCAGAAAGGATAGGGAACGAATGAAAATGATCATTTTTGTCATCAAATATCAAATAGTTTAATATATAATTCTGCAATGTGAAAATCCATGTTACATTCCTCAAACTTTATACATATAATCTTGTCCTGAATACAAAATGGTTAGATCAGCTGTAACATATATTGGGGAGATATAAAAATTAAAGCTTTATCACTCACCGCATAATAATGTGAATCAATAATATTCCAGCCACCCTCATAGTACTGGAAATGATTGGCAGGGTCAATCCTGCGAGTTCTTCCCGCAGCTAACATGAAGGTTGAGTTATTATTACTCGCATTAAACTGATTCCTTTCTCTCTTCCACGCAATGATGGTTTCATCGTCATCCTCTAAACACAACGTTTGTTTAATTTAATACAAAAATTGGTTTAATAATATGGCAGAAACAATCAAGTTTTCTGCAGATTCTAAATGCATGGAAATGAGTACGTACGATGATGATAATAATGATATAACCTGCGTTACCTTCAGCATGGGAGGGTGAGAAGAATGTTGGTGAAAGAATAAGAAAAATGATTGAGATGAGAAGAAGAGGATGAAGTCTGAGATTGAGACCCGTCGTCATATTGAGTTTCAAATTATGGGAAATTCATGAGATTGTGATACACACACACGCACATATATATGTATTGTTCCCAAAGCGCAAAGATAATAATTAATAATGATGATGATGCTAAAACTGCATATTTGAGATTGGGAACAAATCGCAAATAACTAGAGATAGGGTGATTGTTGATATTATAGCGACATTGCAGGTGGTTTGTTCAGAAGTTTAATTTCCCAGGATGGAAGAAAGAGGAGGAGGCAATAAAGAATATGAAGAAAACAATAACCTCAGTGAAAAAAGAAGAAAGAACCAGAAACGAAAAGCTGTATATACGACACTATTACTATATTTGGATTGTGCAAATTTCAAATGTTCGTTAGGCTTCATCAAACCCACAGACTTGGGTTCTCTATTTTAAAACCTTTTTGTTTAGATATCTTATATATTAATTTTGCACAATATCCGGAAAATTTTGACTTATTAGTCAAAACAAACGGGAAAAAAAAAATCGTTCCTCCTTGATACGCAAGGATACAAAAAAAAATTGTTCCGAAAACATATTAAGAGAGTGAATAATTGAGGGTTGTAGGCTTTACAGAAGAAAAGTGTAATTTTCTTTCACCCAAAAAAGAAAAGAAAAGAAAAGTGTAATTTTCTACCATAAATGTCATCATACCTAACTACTTAAATAAATATTACTCCTCCTGTGCTAATTATAAGAGATATTTACAAGCCGCTGAATATAGGATTTTTATCTATTTTATTTTTAATATTTGTCATTTTTCAAAATTAATTTACTTAGATGTATAAATTAATATCTAATATCTAATATTATATGGATATTTTAAGGAGATTATCAGGTCATATTTATTATAATTAAATAATTTAATTAGCTTTTTTAATTTACCCCATTTGGTTAATAAATAAACCTTGCTAGGTTTGATCCTTAATAATTAGTCTCGGTGCAAGTAATAAACTTGGTTAAAAGGAACTTGCCTTCAACATTCTAGAAAAAATTAGTTTATGTTGTTAACAGGATATATAACCTTGGCCTTGGAAAATAAGAGAATCATTTTTAAAAAAAAAACTTTTCTTTTTGCATTTTACAAGATAAAATTTCCTTACATTTCTATTATAGTATAAAATCATTTTAAATAAACTAATCCAAGTACAGAAATAAATTATTTGAACCCATCCCACTTAAGATCTCTTTGAACTTTTCCTCAACTTTTGCAATGCTTGTAATGATTACAACTCACAAGCACTTAACCACAGCACATTTATCCATATGACTCATATTATTAGGCTTAATTTTTTTGGATAGGCCTAATTAGACGTTTAATTAACTACTATATTATTAAATATATTATTAAACATGAACTTAATAGCAAGTTGCCAAGTTCTATTATTGAATAATATAACCAATTTATTAGCCTCCACACGAAATACTACATGAGACCCACATGAGTATTTAAAATATAAAATTAATAAAGAGTCACACTGTTTATTAATAAGTCATGAATTATTATGCGTTGCTTTTAATCTGGCTTTCTCCATACACTTCATTGAGCTTTCTTCAGCATTGTTTTATTCCTTCACTAATTTTTCACATATTTCTATAGGGTTTAAATTTTAAAAAGATAATTACAAATTTTGAAAAGCTTTTTTTTATTTTATATATAGACACATCATATTTTTTTCCAATTCATTTTCAATCAAAGGTAAGTGCACATACAATATCTCACCAAAAAGAAAAAATACACCAGCGTCAACTGAAAATCTCAACAAGTTATCAATCACTTAAGTGGAGAGTCAAAATTCACAAATCAAATAGTCAATGGCTCGATGCACTTCTCTTTCAGAACCCACAGCCACTTAAACACAAGCTTGAGGAAAGCTGCTTCACTCCAAACTCAACCCAAGAAAACAAGAAGAAGAGAAATTTCATCAGTATTATCCACCTGAAATATGCGACTGCAAGTATAAACAGAGCAGAAGGCTTGCAAGGTCATCAAGAGCAAGAGCAAGATGGCAGCCAGGAATGTGAAGCACTGCCATGAACTGAACACATAAAGCTTCATTAATTTCCAAGCTTTCACCTTTAATCTTCCATTATAGTACTTGTTCACATCTTCAATGGCTTTGTCCAAAAATGCCACCTTGGTCAATCTTATTGAACTGTTCATCCCGTTCCACATATTAGCAGCCTCCTCATCGCTCTTCAAGTGGTTCAGAACAATCCCTTGTGCTCTTAGTATCTTCACATCCTCCTCAGAATCTGTAATCCCGTTCATCAGTTCAGTGTACCGTGTCAAAACCAACGGACCTGATGCTGCTGATGCTTCATATGCAACTAAATTTCTCAACACCACCTCAGTATTGACGTCTAGACTAATGGTGGGAAGGTGAAATGTGCGCGTTTTTGCATCAAAATTAATGCTTGATATGCCTTTATTTGTGGGTAAGAAACCAACCCCTGCGTCTAAGAGTTCTGAAACTGATGGAATAGCAATTTCCTCCACTAATGGTGGTTTATTATTGAGACTATTTGAGCTCGAATCCCCATTTTCTGGGTTTTCTTGTTCTTTATCTAGCAAGGAAAAGAAGAAGGATTCAACAGGCACTTTAAGAATTCTAAGTCCAGGAAGGTTGGAAATGACTGTCCAAGGCAACTTAACGATGAATCTCAGAGGTCTAGATAGCAGTACCTTCTTGATCAGACGTATTGGCCCTTTGTTTATGTTTGAAAGCACCTTCCAGAGCTCACTTATGAATCTCTTTACATAGTTTGGATTTGGGGTTGATTTTTCATCCTCTTGCTCTTCTTCAAGTTGAACCTCGTCAACTTCGACTATATCAGATTGTTGTTTTTCAATTTGGGCACGATCATGTCATAAAAAGAAATCTAACAGGTGAGCGCACCCTGAGACTTGGACATTTGGATAATCCTCCATCAGCTTGAAAGGAGAAAGTTCTTTGAACAATCCTACGGCCATTGAAAACAGTAAGTCGTCTGCAACTTCTAACGATGTGAACTTGAACTCCAACATCTCTCTCAGAACAAACAAGGGAAGCTGATTCTCAAGCATTACTATGTCTCTCAAATT